TGAGTGGCCCATGAAGGACTGGTGATGGTAAACAGGTTTCCGCAGAGCTTCCAGTGTGGGCAGAAAGGCCTTGTGGTCTACTTCTCAGAGTCCGCCGACGGAAGGCCTATGGATCACAGCCGTGCGATCGGGAACCCGGGCCAGGATGTCCCAGGACCAGGCAGCAGTGGTTGTGCTGTATCTGGGGGAGCCAGGAGCAGAGGGCCAACTGGCTGGCAGTTAACAGCACTGCACTCCCCCTCCCCTCCCCCCCGTGCCGGCAGCTGCTATGCCACAAAAACCAAACCTCACTGCCGTCGTTGCCAACTCGTGGCGGCCCTATGGGACATGGTAGAACTGCCCCTGTGAGTTCCTGAGATGTAACTCTTTCCGAGTCTCTCCCAAGGCTGATGGCTTCTAACCACTGAACTTGCAGATTATAGCCCAACTCGTACCCACTATGCCACCAGGGCTCCGCACGTGACGTTCTTTACAAATACCTTCAGATGAGTGCCAGATCCTGGGTAGTGAAATGTGGCCACTGAAGAGCGCCCACTGGGTGGGCCTGGGAATCCTAGGAAATGAGACCACGAAACAGCAGAAGATTCTAGGAGCCTGAACTCAGCCACAAGGAGAACAATAAGCCACGCCATGAAGAGAAATAGAGAGGCTGGCATGCTCATAGGAAGATCGCGGTCCTCTAATCCGAGACATGACCACAAAACAGCCCTCCCTTTTCCTGAGGTGAAGCCAAGGGTGTATTCCAGTGGGTCTCCACCAGGCTGAGTCAGCTCCCCAGGGCCATCTTTGATTGTCACAACTGGGAGGAAGGGGCTGGGCACTGTGTCTCTAAGGTGCATTCAAGGCCAGAGATGCTGACAAACACCCTGCAGTGCACTGTCCAGGCCCCAAAAGGACTGCTGGGCCCAACTCTGGGCAGACCTTGGTCTGTTTCTGCCCCGCCTCTGATGCCATGTCCTCTCACCCCTCCTCACTGCCTGGGTCACCTGAAGCCCCTCGTCCACCACTGTCCTCAACCCAGAGGCACCAGTGTATGGAGCTAGAGCTGGGCAGGGTTCTTGGTGACGCCTCGGTGCCCTGTCGCAGGCTAGGTAATGGCCTCCATCCAGCAGCACCTCGTACCCTAGTCATTCCCTAGCTGTAGGTTGTCAGGTATCCATATGTTTAACCAGCTTTTAGGAAGGGTGCTGTGCAGCTAGGCTTGGGAACTGTGGGACCTGGTGGTGCCTTGGTAAGCGATGTGTTGGGGTCCTTTGGTGCAGATGCCCTCTGAGTGCCTCTGTGCCTCCCTCATATGCGCTGGCAGCACTCGGAGACACCTGAAGCAGGAGAGGAGCCCCGTGCCGTGGGCTCTGGTGGTGGCCGTGGGTTCAGTCACAAAACCCGGCACCAGCAAATAGGATTGTCTGCAGATGCACATGTAACCCCGTCTGTGCCTCCCTTCCCGCCCGCTCACCCAGGTGGTCTGTGGCTCAAAGTACCTTGTGCGGGGTGAGAGTGCCCGTGACCATGTGGACCTGCTTGCCTCTTCTCGCCATTGGCCACCTGTCTACGTGGTCGATATGGCTGCCCCAGTGGCCCTGTGTGCTGACCTGCGCTACCCAGAGCTGGCCAACCAGATGTGGGGGCAGAACCAGGGCTGTTTCTCGAGTCCCACGGAGCCGCCTGTGGTGAGTTCCCGGGCTTGTGGCAGGCCCGCTCTCGTCCTCGGTTCTGTGGGAGGGCGTGCCTGTGCCCTTTCCTCCTCCAGGGTCTTGTCTTGTTGCTCTGGCACTGAGCCTATTCCACAGGCATTTACTGACAACCCTGGTCAATCAGATCTCCCAAATACTGAAGGCAAATGCCTTCTGTGTAAACCTGGAAAACTGTCAAATGGAGAAACGAAGACCCAAAGAGGGGAATGGGCCTGTGTGTCAAGGAACACGTGTGCCTTGATATGTGTGGTACTGGCAGTAGTATGACCAGAGAGGCCCTGGTGCCCTGGTGCCAGCTGCCCTTAGCTGGAAGAGACATTAGGACTGGGACACTCAGGAAGTTGATGCAGGACCGAGTGAGCCCCCTGCAGGGGCGCGTCATGGGAGATTAAGGCTTGGCTGGCTTTGTCCTGGAGGCAGCAGCATTGTCCCCATGGCTCGGTGAGTTCCTTTCCTGGGAACTGCAGAGAGGCAGCTTAGGCTCTGTCAGAACCAGTCTCTCCCCCTTCCCCGGCCTGAATTGACTGGGTACGTCCCAGGGATTGAACATCGGCTCAGACGGTAGAAGTCGCTGTCACTCTCCCTGTTCGCACGGGAGGAGGAGAGGGCGAGGCCGCTTGCCCCAGCACACACAGTAGAGTGCAGCTGCGGCGTGGACCAGGGCTGACCGACCCCACAGCAGTGACACTCACCCCACACAGGCTGTGCCTCAGTCGTTGCCTCGTGTGCAAGTGGCTTTTTCATCTCTTCTAGAGTGTGTCTTGCCCGGAACTCTTGGACCAGCACTATACCGTGGACATGACGGAGACCGAGCACTCCGTCCAGCACCCGGTCACCAAGACGACCACGCGGTGCATTGTCCATGCAGGCACTCAGCCCAGTGCCGGCGACCCCAGTGCTGGGCACCACTCCCTGACCCTGTGCCCTGAGCTGGCTTCCTACACAACCGTCTTGGCTGCCATCTCAGACAGCAAACCAAGCTGTGTCCGCCAGCGGCCTGTTGCCTTCGACAATGCCACCCACTATTACCTCTACAACCGCCTCATAGACTTCCTCACCAGCCGGGAGATTGTCAACCGGCAGATCCACGACATTGTGCAGAGCTGCCAGCCTGGCGAGGTGGTCATCCGGGACACCCTGTACCGCCTCGGGGTGGCGCAGATCAAGACCGAGGCAGAGGAGGAGGGTGAGGACGAGGTGGCCACAGCAGAATGAGCTAGGCTGGCGTACAGGGTCGAACCATCCCTCTCAAGCCATAGTGAGGGCCTTGCCTGACACAGATCTAGCCAGGAAATCAGTGGGGGAGGGGGGGAGGGAGTGGGGGGTGGGCGGCCCACGGCTCTGGCTGCTGGGACTGACCAAAGAGCTTCCATTTCCTGAGCAAAATGGGGCCCAGGGTTCTGAACCCCACCACCCCTTGGGGGTGGTGGTGGTCTGTAGAGGCACCAAGAAGCCCCTCAGCGGCCTGAGAGCACGTGGGGGGTGTAGTCTGTTCAGCAGAAGGGGAGGCAGGCCGAGGGAAAGGCGAGTGGCCAGTGGAGCCTCCCTGGGGCCTGTGATGAGTGAGGGTGGGGTCACCGGGTGTCAGCCAGGTGGGAACGGGTCTCTCTCCTCACTGGGCCCTGCAGCCACGCGTGTTCCTGGCCGGCTGCCTTGGGGGCCCTGTGTCGCTCTAGGAGTTCTGTTGGGCACTTGGGATGGTTTTCTCCAGAGAGCACTGGGGTAGGAGAGACAGCCACAACCCTTCCAGACTGTTGTCTGCCCCGGGCTTTGGGGAAGAGCATCTCCTCCCTCCTCTCCCTGCAGCCTCCTCATGGAGCATGGCCCGTGGTCATGACTCCGGCAGGCAGCAGTACGGAAAAGTCCCTTCTGTGAAGGGGAAGCAGACTGGGCCGCACAGAAACCGCGGGACTGGCTCAAGTGCCCAAGGTTTGCTTGGGGCACGGGAATTGGCCGTGTGATATTTAATTTATTAGGAGGAGTGGAGTCGGTGGCTTTCCCCGCTCCCTCTCCCCGACAAGAATAAAGTTTATTAAATTATCTGCTTTGGGTGAAGCAAGTGTCACTTCCTTGGTCATGGTGTGGGGGGCTGTATGCTGAGTGAAGGGGGCTCTGGGGTGGCACAAGAACCAGAGAGCTGGGCCGGCTGTGTTAATGCTGTTAGTTTAATGTTGGCGGGACATCCCGCCGCATGGTGGTTAGTTGGGGGGAGGCACCTTGTCTGGTGTGCCGGCCACACACCAAGTGCCTGTGCTCTCTGCCCTGACTGCCGGTGCTGGGCAGAGTGCCCTAACGTAGCTGCCATGTGGCTCGTCCCAGCCAGGCCAGATCCCACCCGGTGCGATGCAGGTGAAGGCTCTGACAGGTAGAGGCAGGAGGTGCCATTGGATTCTCACAGCGTTGCCCCGGCCCCACAGTCTGAGCTGAGGGCAGCCCCAAACCTCCAGGCAGGCAAGGGGGGGCCTGGTCCCAGTCCTGGGGGCTCCTGAGAGCATGTGAGGCATAAGACCAATGAGATGAGGGGCGGAGGGAAGGGGGTTCCTGGGAGGAGAACCAAGCTTAAGAGGAGCTGGGTGTTGCCCAGTTGACACAGCCCACTGGAGACTGGCAGCGTTGAGAAAAGTAGTGAAGGGCTGAAGGGCTCTGCCCCCAGCCGCTTACTGGCAGTGATGGCCCAGTCTCCAGAAAAGTGGGTACCTCCCACCCCACGTGGGACGTCCACGTTCCTGAGTTTCCTGGCTGGGCAAGCTGTGTGTGACGTGACAAAGGGCAGAGTGCATGTGCTCCCCGTGTGGCCCGGGCGTGGGGGAGCGAGGCGAGGCAGTGCTTCCGCTCAGCCCCCTCAGCAGAACTGGTAGTTGTTGGGCTGCAGCAGCGGCTGGGTGCTCTCCCCCTGCTCGCAGCAGGCCAGGTGCTCACTGGAGCTTCCCTCCAGCTCGCTGCTGCCGGCATTGGGCAGGTTGGTGTAGTCCTGAGGGCAAGAGAGGCCAGCAGCTGGTCAGACCCTGGCCTGCATTCCCACCCCTGCCTGGGGCTGGGGCCACTCACCTGCTCTTTCCTATCTGCTTTGGCCTGTTCCTGCAGGAGGAGGCAGATCTGCTGGAAAGTGGGTCTGCGGGTGGGCTCCAAGTCCCAGCAGGCCTGCATGATACCGTATCTGCAGACAAGACCAGGTGCCCTTGAGAGGTGCTCCACCCTCTGACCCCAGCAGAGGTCCCACAGGGAACTCCGCATGAGCTCGCTCAGTTCATCGCGTAACCCTTGGAAGCCAGTGCTTATCGACACAGGGATGAGCGAGGTGCAGGCGGCTGCAGTGAGTGGCCAGTTAGAGGCTCAGAGGGGCGCCCTGGTTGGGTCACAATAATGTCAGGGTCTGAGCTAACAGTTCCCTTTTCACCTGTCAGTTAAAACTCTTCTCTGTCCCAGGCCCCTGAGGTAGCCAGTGGACACACCCTGGCTTATTTAGAGAGCCCGTTGTGGGGGAGATGATGCCTCACCCAGAACCACTTGGAGCGGGGAGACCAGGGCCATACCCCCTTCCACCCCCCTCAGGGGAACACTAAAGCTGGGCCATCACCCTCCCCGGGACCCCTGCACTCACATATTCTTTGGGGCGAACACAGGCTGGGCCATTTGGTAACCGTCCTTCACCAGTTTGTAGAACTTGCTGTTCACCAGGATGCCCGGGTAGGGGTTCAGCCCTGCAAAGGCCAACGACGTCCCATGAGAGGCCCCAGCTAGAGCTCACCCTCACTGCCCCCTCGCCCACAAGTGTCCGTGTAGCTAGAGGGCCTAGGGCCCCCCCAGCTGTGGTGCTGCAGGAATGGCAGCTCCCCAGTCACATACGAGCTGCGCCCAGGGCTGTTGGAGCACAGGCCGCAGCAGTGTGCATCGGAGTGCCGGCACCGACTGGCTGGTAGTGGACCAGTGAGTGCACCCCGCGCTAGGCCGGAGGATGGTCCCACATCTGTTTTCTCTTTCTAAATAAGCGGCTATAGTGAGGTCGAGGCCCCTTGGGTTAGGGTGTTTTGCTTTGTTTTTCATAGTACATACACAGCATTTGCCGTGTCTACGTTCTTTACAGTTCTGTGACAGTAATCGGGTAATTCCAGCTACAACTGTAAGGCTAAGGAGCCCTGCTGGCACAGTGGTTACATGCTTGGTTGGCAGCTGAAAGTTGGCCGTTTGAACCCACCCCACTGCTCTGTGGAGGAAAGGCCGGGCAGTCTGTTCCTGTAAAGATGACCTTTGGGGCAGTTCCACCCCGTCAGACACGAGTGGGAAACTGACAGCACAGAGCAACAGCAGACCGCGTCCCAAGAGGGATGTGGTGCTCCTGGGGCAGACGCTGCCCATGCGGACTCAAGTACAGGGAGAGTCCAGAAGGGCGTGGGACACGTGTCAGCGTGGAAGGTCTGCCCAGCCCTTCACTACCCACCCCATGCGGTGCAAGGCCCGGGGGAGCCCTGCGGCTTACCGAGTGAGAAGATCTCCCAGAGCAGGATGCCGTAGGACCAGACATCGCTCTGAACTGTGTAGACGCAGTCAAAGATGCTCTCCGGAGCCATCCACTTCACAGGCAGGCGGGCCTGGCAAGACAGTCCCCCTGTCAGCTGGAGGTCCCAGCCCACCACCCCCTCCGCAGTGCAGCCCAGCCCAGCCCACCCACTCCCAGCACTCACATTGCCCTTAACAATGTAGTTGGAGTCACTCATGATGTCCCTGGCCAGCCCGAAGTCCCCAATCTTGGCCACATGCCCACTGGTCAGCAGCACATTGCGGGCCGCCACGTCTCGGTGGATGCACTGTGACAGAGCCACGGGGTTAGGCTGGGCGCACCCCACTGCAGAATTCGAGCTCTTTCCCTGCACTCCTGCCTGGCTAGCACATGCTTAGAAGCCACCTGGAGCTGCCCTGCCCTTCTTCCCCCGCCCCAAGCAGTGGAAGCATTGAGCAGCTGCCACCTCAGGACCTTTCTCTGTCCCAGCCCCTTCCCTCCGCCTGTGCCCGTGTGACTATACCCATGTTTGTCTATGTAGAAACAGGCTCAGAGTTGCTCAGTCACACAGCGAGTGGCAGAGCCAACCACTGAGTGCCGATCTCCCGAGTGTGCTGTGTGGGTGACGGTAGCAGTTCTGCTCCTGGGCTGGGTATAGTTTACACAGCATCAAGTCCTGTGTGGATGGGGGCGGTCCAAGGTCATCCCCAGGGTCAGCAAGAGGGGCTTAGTGTTGCTGGGGAGAGACCCAGGCTCTCCCAGCCAATAAAAGTCTTTACAGGCCAAGTGCTTTTGAGAGCAAGCGAATGAATAAAACCTGTACTGTGGGTCAGGATGAGACGCTGCTGAGGGGCTCCGGCCCTCCCCTGAAGGAACCCTGGGCTGCCTCACCCCTAAAGCCCACTGCTGCCCTCTGCTCCCATCCCTGCTCTCCAGCCGTGGACGCAGGTGTGGGTTCAGCCTCCCTACAGCAAGGGCTGGGTGGCCGCCCCACGTGGGGACCAGTTCTGACTCACGTTCTTGGAAGCGAGGAAGGCCATGCCCTGGGCCACTTGGCTGGAGAAGTGGAGCAGGTCTCCGAGCTCCAGCTGCCGCCTGCTCTCCTTGTCCAGGTCTGTGGGGGAGGAGCTTCAGGCCCGCACCACACGGCACACCCCTCCCTCCCTCCCTCCCTCACCGTGGCACCTCCTTACCTGATTCTGAGAAAGAGTCATTTGAAGAGGAAGTGGAGACGGGCCTCATTTCCACATAGGTGTCTAAACCCTGACTGGAGAAGCCGCTGTCCCTACATCAGAGAGGCCCAGGGCTGGGTCAGTGCCCACCGCTGCACTTCCCAGCTCAGCCTGGGGCCCCGCCCCGCCTTTCACCTTGAGCAGCCCTGTCTGACAGCGGCCTCTGCCGCAGGCTAAGTCATCGTTGATGGGTCTCGGCCAGCCCCTGTGGTGCTTCCACCCAGTGCCGTCTTTGAGCGGCTCTGCCCATTACAAAGCCACCTTGCTATACTCTCAGAGACCAGAGACCTGGGGCCGAAGGAGGGCTGTGCCTCAAGTGGGGTCACCCCAGTGTTAGATGTGCACCCCGACCCCAGCAGCTGTGCTCACTGAATCCAGGACCACAGAGAAGGCCCCATGCCCCGTTCACAGCCCCGCAGGGCTTTGAGCATACCCTGGGGCCCCTTTGGGTGCCTCTCGTCTAGACCTGGGTTCTCACCCCTGCCATCAGAGCTGCTCAGTGCCCGTTCCCAAGCCACCAGACGCAAAGCCCCGCTGTTTGCATTTCCAGTGTCCTGATGCTGCTGGCAGGCACAGCGACTGCTGCTCTGTGTCATCGCGTGTCTGTGAGCCCCGAACAGGGGTCTTGTCCTGCAGCACTGGCTCAACAGGCCGCCCGGCCCCCAGCCGAGGCTTCACCCCGCATAGGGTTTGAGGAGCGCTGCTCCAGGCGAAGGTGAGGAAGGCCTTCACGGAGCTGGCTTGAGGGAGGCTGCGGCAATGGGCAGCGTGTTGGGTTTTGTTGTGAGTAGACGGTTTCCAGGAGCCAGAGCCGAGTCTAAGGCACTGCGTGAACAACTTGTATTCTGACACGTGTCTGCACGTCTCCCCCTGCCACGCAGATGTCCTCCTGCACAACAGGCACCCCTTGTTTCCAGAGAGCCCTGTGCTTTGTGTCGGGTCTGACCGTGGCATAGCCCTCCCCTCCCTGGTAGCCGGGGATCCCACTGACAGGATTGGGTCACATGCTGTCTGACCTTGACAGTGCCCCACCCGATCTCCCCACCTGTAGGTTCCACGCTAGAACTGAATGCTTTTCTTTGGTTCTTGCTTGGCTTCGATCGGCCCTGAGCTGGCCTCACGGAGGGGAGGCAGAGACATGGAAGAGGAAGCACACCTGCCGGGTCCCTGTTTTTCAAGACACTGGATGGAGAGAAAGGCCTCCTTCCCCTCTTGCCTGTGCACACCTGGCAGCGACAGTGGCAGGATAGGGGGCCCTTGTGCAGAGCCCGCCGGTGCCAACCTCTCTGGACCTCAGCAGCCTCCCAGAGGAGGCCTCAAAAAGACCCAAGTCTGAGCCCTCCGAGCACGGTGTCCAGGGCCGGGTTCCAGCCCAGGCTCTGACTCGTGGGTGACACACAACTGGCCACTTCCCACTCTAGCCAGTTCCGCATGTGGCCCTGGTGGTTTCCAGGGCTCGCAGCAGTACGGAAGGCCACAGCCAGGTGGGCAGGGGACTTGAGCACAGCCACACAGCTGATGCCGCCATCTGCTCCCCGCGCCCCCAGCAGGCTCCAAACTCTGCGCCGTCTCTCCATAGCAAGACGGTGCCCTGCAGCCCTCCCATGGCCTGTGTCGAGGAGCGACAGGTGGTAAGGCCCTCTGCCTGCCCATCTGATCGTCCACAGACACAGGTGGCAGTGCAGTGGTAAGTGCTTGGCTAGTACTGGAAAGCTCCGTGGTTCAAACCCTCGGGAGAAAGACGGTGGCCTGCTCAGACACATTCTGGAGGAGTGCCGCCCGCCCTTGGGCGCAGGGGATCAGAATCCCTAGTACGCACCACCCCAGAGCGTGCACGGCCCCTCTGCCTCTAAACTCCGGGCACAACACTGGTGCGCAGATATTTGTGGGAGATGGAATTCAGCAGTACGACAAGCCTGAGCTGGCTTGGGGGCACACCTCCCAGCCTGTCCCCGGCCAGGGCACTACCTGCGGATGTATTTCTTCTCCAGGTGGATGTTCTTGTAACCAGTGCTGCCATCGGGGTCCAGGGCTGGGCTCGGGCTGGGCCCCAGCATGGCCTCAGCCTTGCGGCGCAGGAAGTTGAGGAGGTCACCGTAGCAACAGTACTCAGTGATGACCAGGACAGGGCCTAGGGCAGCAGAGAGCGCAGGGTGGGGGCGGGCGGTGAGCACACCTCTTGTCCCCCAGCCCCAGCTGAACAGGAACATAAGCCCAGGGAGGGTGTCGGTGCCCTGAACTGAGCTCAAGAGACCTGAGTTCCAATCCTGACTGTGGGCAGGTTGCTCCAATCTGTGTGCTTCCTTCACCTGCCCCGCCCCACCCGTCTGGCCAAAGCAGAACTTCAGAAGTATGGTAGCCCAGGAACCCCTTCCCCAAGGAAGTCCGAGGGCAGAACTGTCAGAGGAGAGGAGGGTAGGGGGTGGCTGTGGCATCCTGGCAAGTCCTGGCCACCTCCATGCACCTGGGTGGGGGCGCCAGGCACACAGAACCAGACTCCCGGGCCCTTGGATCTCCCTCTACAGCGGGTGGCGTTTGATGCGCACTGGCACCTGGGAACCACTGGTGAACACCACAGTGCTGCCGGCAAGTGCTGGTGGGAGAGTCTTGCCCAGGGAGGTACGGGACACCAAGGCCGGGTGCTGGGAGGGGCTGGGGAAGGTGGGAAAGGTGGCCCAGGCTCTCCCGCACCCCAAGGCCCCTGGCCAGGGCCACGCACCCCCGTGGGTGCAGGCCCCCAGAAGGTTGACGATGTTCTCGTGCTGGCCCAGGTGGCTCATGATCTTCAGTTCTGACATGAGGGCCTCCTTCTCGTCGGCATGTGCGGTGGCTGTGGGGAGAACCAGACGGAGGCCAGAGGTGTGAGGGAGGGAGCAGGGGACACCAGAGGCCAGAGAGGGGGCAGGAATGGACACACGGTTGGGACAGAGAGAGAAATGGCCTGTCACTGAGCTGCCCTTGGAAACAGGAAGCCAAGCTGTGACCAGACCCTGGTCCGTGAAGCCCTCCACATGTAAAGGCGGGTCCAGGCTTCCGTAGGAGCAGGAGCCTGGGACTCGTCAGAGACGCCAAGAAGGCAGCTCAGCTCCAACCTGGACCCTCCCTCAGGCTCTGGACAGGCAGAAAATGGGGCAGAGCCTCTTGGAGACAAGTCAGATTCACCCCCCGCCCCCTCCTCGAAACTGCCCGAGTCTCTTCCCTCGACTCACACTTCAGCATCTTCACAGCCACCTTGAGGACGGCGTCTTCCTTGCCCAGACCAAAGGCCGTGGCCTCCACCACCTTCCCAAAGGCGCCAGCGCCGAGAGTCTTACCTGCCACAACACAGGCTCCTTAGGTTGCTGGACCCCAAAGGGCCTCTAAGAGCCCACAGGTCCCCTGCACACCCACTGTCCCTGGGTCAGGGAGGGAGGGCGGAGCGAGCGCGGCCATCCTGCTTACCAAACTGCAGCTTGTTCCGGGGAAACTCCCACTTCTGGTTGTAGGGCAGCTGGGTGGGGTCGATGAAGGTGTAGCTGTTGCCCTCACAGCTCTCGATGATCTTCCAGCGCACCTGGTACTTGGGCTTCTGCGAGGCAGAGGCAGGAGCTGTGTGTCAGCCAGGGCTGGCCCCGGGGTCCTGGAGCCGGGCTGGGGCAGCCCCGTGTCCCGGGCCTGGAAAAGGCTGGGAGCAGCCTAGCGTGTGGTGAAAGGTTCTCACGGACACTCCACAAGGACCCGGTCCCAGCGCTGACTCTCCACACTGTGTGCCAGTCGCTCTCCAAGTCTCGTGTGTGTGTGTGTGTGTGTGTGTGTGTGTGTGTGT